TTCTTCACCGATTAAACTACTTTTTATTAGTGACCTTTCGAAATTGAAGCTTTCTATGGAGGTTTGAGCCACTTGACTCTTCCATGAAGATTCACATAAGCAAACGCATTATCAGATTTCCTCTCTTCGTAGTGTTTGTATGAAACACATGGGTTTTTCGTGACTGTGAAAAAATGAGGTGTTCACCAACAATGATGTAAGTTGCTTAAAAAAGCAATTTACACGTGTGGAGTTTGGTATAAAGTCATCGGTTTGAAAACACAGCTGTTTTCTTATTTGTCCGCAAGATCTCGGGACTCAAGATGAAATGTTACCCTGATCCCCCCTTTTAACTTCAATACTCCAACACCTCTTAGACTTACAGTTCTGTTTATTCCGTTTGAAACCTAGCAAGAGTTGTTCTAATTTGTACGACTACTTATTCGGTCCACTGTAGTTGCACCTGAATGTGAATGACCTCAAGACAACGTACAGATCTTTAGCAATTGCTACTTTTCAGCTGCGCACATTAAAGTGGTACTGAGAGGAAATGGGTCCCCGACAAAACGTTATGTGATGATTCGGAAGATGCTCGTTTGCGGACGTAACATTTCTGCTCAAAAGGTGTGTTATGTTCATCAAACTTGGGTATCCAGTTTCATTAAAGTGGTGATTCCAACCGTAGTACAAAAATCGTGAAAGTCCGAAAGTCTAGGTTACTGCCACTTTTTCAGTCAAAGTGTAGCCGTATCTTCCTTCTATATCATTTCTATTGATAGATATAGTTAACAAGTTTGTGTTTAACGTGATGGCTGCTGTTTAAATCAACGGGGCAATATCTTTCTGCAGCAGGGAAGACAATCACTCCACAGTTATTTAAAGTAATAGCTTTAATGACAAAACCTTGCCATCAGAATTGTTTTCCGCTAGAACAGTAATAAGGCGTTCAAAAATTGACTATTTGATGTACTTCTGTTTGTCTGAACATATCTTCATCTGATAGCACACCATGAACGTTGCCCAGACTTTTCACTAATCTATTTGAAAAGCTTGGAACATTTTCGAAGAGTTGAATCGTAACGTGCCCTGAAACTTGTCAGTTATACTAGTCAGCAATAGAAAATGACTTCGTTTTAGGTCGAAGCTTTATATATGATCTTCAGAAAGTTGACAATACAGAGGCCTCGGACGCAATGTCGTTGACTCAGCAATAGAAATCAGATAGTGCTTTTCATAATTAAAAGGTCGTGGAAACTTAATGATGTTTGCTTTAGAAGCTCAGCTGCTTAGTTCCATCATGTAGTTAAGAGGATTATCATTTGAAATCCACAGCTTAGTATCATATTGACTGTAGAACACAGAAACACAAGAGTGGGTTACGGGAGATGGTACATTAAGGTGGAACGTAGTTTCAGTATTGAGCATCATTTTCCAAAAGCCAGTAAAATCAAAATATCTTCAGCGAAATGCCAAACATCAGGTGGAATCGTTTACTTGTTGCTTCCGTACTATCTGAATGATGCCATTTGAAAAACAACACTTCTGCAGCGTTTAGAAGAAAAACATTGATTTAGAGATTCTTTAGTTCTGATTTTCTTGTGACATCACAAGTAGTTACAATTTTCACGCCCACCTACACGTCCTGTTGTTATTTGTATATGCCAATGAAACTGCTTTTCGAGTGGATGACGACGGACTTGTTGAATATGGTTGTACCTGTTAGGAGGTGATGGGGATGATTTTGCTAGGTGTTTCTGGATAGTTTCATCCGATGTAAATAGTTACTGTGTCAATTCTTTCTTGTAGAGTTTGCCGCAATATCCGTATCCTGTTCTGTAAGGAGACCGTGAGCTGGCTAATCTAATAAATGCGGACGGCGCAAAATCGTGTTATGTATATTTTGTTCTAGTTTTTCACACGACGCTTCACACGTTATTCTGGTGGCATTATCACCTACGTTGCCACCATGGTGGCTAGCGGGCCATAATTCTGTGTGCAGGTACGTACTGCTGCACACATGACTGCGCGTTCCGGCGAATTTGCAATACCTCTGGGACGAATTGTAGACAAAGACTGAAAATAGATTGACGACTTCTGACAAAGATGGGCGGTGCAAAGTCGTTTCAGAGAACGATCCTGTTCCCACTACACCCAAATTTTTGACGTTCTTTAAAAGTATATTATGTAAAAGATATTCAGGCCATAAACCAAACATATATGCACATAGAGGTCCTGCTCGCTAAAATAGGAATAATTAGGTCTCGTAAATGATGAATCGATAGTTTTACCACCCCGTAGAAAACTGTGTACTTTCATTAAACATGTTCTGCCAAAAAGGTATTTGTTTCACTCTCAAAATTCTACCTTGTGGAGAGCCACACCTATTGTTCTTCGTTTATTTGGCCAATGTTCCGTTTATTTCAACAACAGTCTCCACGCTCTATGTGCATTTTACAGTATCCTCAATAGGGGATTTCAACAACTGATGTTATCCATCATAAGTACATGCTTCAGTTGAGATAAGCTATTAGTTATATGGCTCAGATTAGCCGTACGATCTGTCGATCATGATCTCGTTCGGCGGGTTGCAATATGGGTACTGGGGTGATAAGAATAACTTTTGAAAATGTGTGCTATTGAACACTTCCTAACTCCGCAGCCAAACACGCAGCTGCATTGTTTTATCCAATGATAAACAGTGAACGTGAATCAGATTGCCTTTTCACTCTTATGAAAGTAACTATTTATCACGTTTCTGAAGATATCCAATCCACTTCGTCTGTGCATTCAAATGATACAAGACAGATGGGTAGAACCACCGCTGCATTAAACATCAGAGAAAGGTCAGGCATGATCTCAATTGTTTACCATTTACAGTCTAAAGTTCAGACCTGGATGCCTCTTTTAGGGATTCCTAAGTGCAAGTTCAGAGTCCTAAGTGGTTACCGTCCAGTTGTAGATTGTAAACCGTATTCATATTGTAGCCCGATTGCCGGTGAGGTTAGCAATTTTGTTGATGGTTTTTCAGACAATTTCCACTGATTTGATAACAGTTTTTAACACCCTCGTCACAGTGTAACCTACCGTACACAGCTAAACGCATATCTTGATTGTGCTTTCTCTAACAAAACCGAATTGTTTGCAGCCCAACGAAATGATCCCATTTAGTGACTGTGGCTGCATTAGCACGAACCTATAGTTCACGATGAACCACAAAACAAGTTAGGAACCACTTACTGGTAGTAAAGGTCGTAGAATCAGACGTCTGCACTCTCTTCCTGACAACCACTGTAGGAAAACCCTATCTTGAATTGCTTCCAGAGTTTCAAATAGACTTCGATGTTGGAAAGTATAACCTTACAAATCAAAGTGCTATCCATCGGTGAGGTGTACTGCACAATTTGTCAGACATGAGTTAAATATCTTCAAGTCGAAATACACTAATACACTACCGATTGACAAAAGCTGAGATGATATCTGGCAACTCACGAAAATACTAAGAAAGCTGACATTGCCGTCCACGAAACCCATTGTTGATGATAAGGAGCTCAATCGTAATTTCAGCAGGAAACCCAGAACTTTCCCCTTAATTCCCAATGAGGTTTGCTTTTCCCACGACCTGTCTGTTCCCACCGAGAGTCGTGATGTTCATGAAAAACTTGTTCAATTGGAGTCGAGTATAATAAATGGACCGGCAGTCTGTAAGCAAAGCTTTGAATTTTACTGGCAAGCTCTACCCGAGTCTCACCATCAGTGTTTCACACAATGCGAAATTGTTGACCGCTAGAGAACGATACGTATCATGTACATTCCCAAACTAAGTACAGAAATTTCACTCAAAATCATGCAGGTCTGCGGCACCGCACATTTTCCAAGGGGCTATTCTCTATCAAATGAGAGCTCAACTTAACCTCACAAACCCCGATCATTTCAACTATCATTATTCACGCTCTCCACATGATCTTGATTGCCTAAGACGTGCCATTCTGTTCCAGGTTGATAAAGACTTTAGAGCACTTTGCACACATTCTTTGTACTACAAAGATGTGCCGGCGGGCTTGAGAGAAGCTATGACACACTACAAACCGTAGTGCTTTTCCACGATTACTTCACGAATCAAAGACGTTTTGCACAAACGTGTAATAAAAATGTGGAAGTCAGTCTGTGTTCATCCACAAAATATGGAAAAACTATGCTATTTACTTTTTTATGCCACCACGTAATTTTATGTGATGTGACAAGCTGTAGTCGAATATAAAATTATGTAGGCTGCCCACGAAATGGGCCACATAGTCGAGAAGCACACACGCGTCAATATTCTCCTGTCCAGCCGTTATTTTGAAAGTCTTCCTATCTTCTAGTTTACCACATAAAGCGAAAACCAGGACGGTGTCACCAGTTGTTGAAGTTAAAACACGATATGCACTTTTGGTTTTTAAGATGTTCGATGTGTGGTATTGCTACAAGAATATGTTGAGTTCTTATTTCAACGTTAGGTGTTGATGATTAACTGTCTGTAATATATATAAGTAGGTCTTCTTTACTGGACACGTACCCATGGAAATGATGAAGGTATACGATGCATTTGTAATTTTTAATGTGTGTGCAGAAACAGAGACAACGAGTTCTTGACCACGACACACTTTTGTGTAATCCGCTTGTTTTGTGACCAAAATACATACAAGTCCACAAGGAAGATGCATAAATGATCCCGATTTTCGAGCACCGTTTTACATCCAGCTAGCCTGCCTACTGGAGGGTGATTGTGTGAGTAGGTATACAACGAGGACATTTGTCAGCATTTGCGTGTGAACGCCCTGAGTTCTTAATCAACAAAAGGATAATACAAATGTACGTCGTATTGAATGAAACCCATACTGCATAGACCACCTGAATGATAACACCTAGGTCACCAATGATCAGTGCAATTAAAACTCAATGCGGTCGGGCTACGCGGAAATCACGAATTATGAGGAAGTTTGCAAAACGTATTTTAAAAGATATCCATTTGCGAAAAACCTGGGCTTCGGCTGGATTCGAACCAGCGACAGAAACATCATGCCCAAAATCGGTAAGCGCTGTACCAACTGAGCTACGAAGCCACGCCGGAAGCTCAGGAATTTCATATTTGGACCTAGTTACCAACTTAACCAACTGTGTCATATGGAACCCACCGAATGATCCAGCCGATTGACTGCCTAAGCAAGATTCCCCGATCAGTTTACGCTGGAATCCACCAACGCCACCGATGAGCATTGACACTGACTTACTGATAAGTAGGTCCAAATGTAAAATTTCTGAGCTTCTGGCGTGGCTTCGTAGTTCAGTTGGCAGAGCGCTTGCCGCGTTTGAGCATGATGTTTCTGTGGCTGTTTGGAATCCAGCCAAAGTCCAAATTTTTAGTAAATGGATCTCTTTTAAATTATCAAATCTGCCAAACTAGTTATCAGTAAGACGTATTTTGTTAAGCCTGAGGCGACTCTACCACCCACCTATTTGGCTCACACTCAGTGGACAACAAGAGAATTAACTGCAATAAGTGATAAACATACGGGCGTAATATTCCCGACCATTCTGCATGTACTTACAGCACTTCCATCAACATTTCCCATGTACACTCTCTACCCGTCATCACCATCTACCTTCCTTATCAGTGTTAACCTAAACAGTGTTACCTCTTGAGTACGGCAGACAAAATTTGCACATGTAATACAAGCGTTCACGCACTAATCGTACTTCTTCTGAGGTTCGACTATGGTTACTGTTAAGTCTAAAATTATTTGGTGTTTCTTCCAGTGCTTTCTTTTACCAGATGTTTTATCTTTCCGATATTTTTCATTTTCCTATCACATTCACAAGCTCCGTACTAACTAATTTGCAACTGAGTTCAGTTACCACTTAGCGTACACACACACTAATCAACATCAATCAGTTATGTTACAATAATATCTAATGGCATGCATCTTTGTACCATTCCTTTCGGATTAACACTAAATACGGTAATGCGTCTGTTGAACCTCAGCTGATGTGATACAAATGACGTGTTGGGGCTAGGGTACGTTGGTGTCCTTCGGCTTCAGCCATTGGACAGAGATGTGACCACCCAGGTAAAGCGACTTACTCTGCAGAAGTTGATCCGTCAGACTCTTTTCGGTTTGCAGTGCACTCGTTCGCGCCTCGATGATGGATTCTAACTGTGCAGCATATTCTTTCATCTGTGATATAAGGAATAAGATTCCTCAATAAGATGAAACATTCTTTCAAATAAATTATCAAGGATAATCGGACAGAAGGTAAAGGAAAGTCGCTTACCAATATCATATCTTTGTTGGTTGAGGGAATAATTTTTGGATTCATTGCCTTCAGTCGTTGCTTGATCACAGTAAACGGCGGGCGTGAGATTACATCTTTCCAGCACTCTTTTATTAACTGAAAATTGAGAAGGAAAATGTTGAAGTTAATGTGTGCCAACCGATGTCAACAAAAACCGAATAATGGACAAATTCGCGGTCGCTGCTGACGCTCAGTTCACAAGAGTATTTGCCATATCTTCTGTGTAAAGGAACAAGTCGCTCAGACGAAAGTGAGCGCACGGGGGACTGGCCATTTGGTTGTCCAAATAATAAACCTAACTGTAGACCTATCGATGACTAGAACAGTGATTTATAGCTGCTACACTGGATGACCTAGTCAGATGGAGCGAATTATATACTAACCCTTGAAACGAATAGGTTGCTGTTCATTGCTTTTAAATGATTATACCGCAGGCTGAAACCGTATATAACTAATTCACCGAGTAATTATGATCTGCATAAACTAACTTCCAGATGGACCGGCTGAACGAGGGTTTGGTTGATTGGCCAGCCGTTTCCAAGTCTGAATACAGTAAACAAATAGAGAGTAGAGTAGTACAGAATTGATCGATTCCTTAACAAAGAAAGTGTTCAACTGAAAGGACAGTATTTGATGACCGTTTGACTAGTTTACTGGTTGAAAGAATATCTTCTCAGCCCTACATACATCCAAATACCCCAAGCAGCTGGTTCCGGCGTTGCTCGCTTCGTACGTTGTAAAGGTCAACTTTGCTGGCAGTGCTTTAATCAAAAGGTACACTGTAGGTTTACATCGTGTGACATTGTGTTGATCTCATTTGAGTCTAAATGATATAGTAGTAAGTGTGGAAAGCAATAAAAATAAGTCAGACAAAATGGGCTTCTGAATAAATTATTGCATAACCACTCTCAGATTAGGCCAACTGTATGATCGTTTTGATGGCTAGGTAAATATGCACGTCATGCTGAATAACACACAATGTAGCCAGATCCCTTCGATAAGACCAATTCCATTCACGTTGGCTTGTCGGTTTTGGAGGCCTATGCCACAACAGAGATGCTAAACTCGGTAACCGCCTTCTTGTTAACCACTGTGCCGGTGACCTCACATTAGGCACGACCAAGTAGTAACATCAATTTCCAGTCACATCCTGTCAAGAATAATGCTCAGAATGACCGATCTTCTTGAGGGGAGGAACGGTAAAATTTGTGCTAACTCCAATTGATAGCGTTAAAACTACAGCCCCTTAATCTTTCTGAAGTCACAGGGTTTCGTAGGAGAATGATTATTATGCATTAAGCCAGTGTTATGAAGTCATCGCCACATTAATCAATATGGCTGACCCGTGAATACGTGGTGAGAAGTTGAGGCAAAATGGTGGCAGGAATACACACTACTGATGAGGTTTACCAAGGGTTAAGCCGAAGCCTACAATAGTTTTGAAATGGGGAAGTGAAACGTTCATCTGACTGTGATAGCAAATATAACGTGTGTATGATGTCCAAGCTTTTTCAATAAAACACTCGAATAACAATTTTGCTGAAATGTCAAACCATCTTCATATTTCTCTCCTTGGTTAAGACAAAAAACTAGACTTTCGATATCTCGAAGGATTCAAGTTCCTTAATGATTCCGTTGCTTTCAGTCTGCCCATTTTGAAAATCCTGAGGTACCTCCCTGCTGGCACTGGTCTAAACTGGAAGAACTGTAACCTTCACAAGCATGCGTATACCTCAGAACTGTATTCAGGGATATCCATATGCTAAAGATATTGACAACAAACTGTTGCAGGCCATAACAGTCACCTCATGGACAAACGGTATTATCGACCGCACATGCGTTGACCTTGATTGTGATTGACTAAGAGCGATGTGCGTTGTTCTGGCTCTGCCTTGACATGTGGTCGAATGCATAAGGCACGCGATGTTGGCGGTCGGACACACACTGATTCATAGACAGTCTTTGTTCTTTCTGTTAGAAGTTAGGAATACACCGCGGACTAAGCGGTACATGTAAAAAAACCCGTGGATATATTAGTTTGGTGAGTGTAGCTGGGTCACAAAAAAGACGTTTAGTCGGTTTACTATCAGGATCGTTGTCTAACGGACCGTAGGTCCCAGCTAAGATGTAAGTCATCGCAACCTATGAACCTAATTTAAAATTTGTCTCGTGCTTGTCACTGTAAACCAAAAAGTGGAAGAGCATAAGCAGATTAGTTTATTATTGTGGGACAATGGAAGATTTACTACAGTTCACTTATGTATAATTTCCAGTCATTCTCATTCCTCTCGGTTGTGGCATATTCACCTGTCTAGTTAAAATTAGTGTTTGGTTTTCGGTTAACCCTCCTGCGTGCACTTTACGCACGCAACTTGATTAAATGAGAATTTCTAGGACGTACTTAACTGTAATGTACATATAATGTGTGGCGTGCACATTTGAAACAGTTCGGCTCACAACGTAATGTAAATGGATATCATGGTAACAGTCTTCTCTGATTAACAAGGCGATACGCTCTGCAGAGTTTGAAAAACATGGCGTGAACATGGATGTTAATATTACACAAAAGGGAAGATCTCGTTCTTCCTTCCAATTAACAAACACCTTCTTCCGCCTGTGGTTTGGTTACTGCAAGAATAGTTTATAATGCTCGCGATATATGAAGATTTTGTTTTGTAACTATCCGCGTCAGTACTTTTTCGTTTTAATGGTTACGTCGATTCTTCAACTTCACCTATGAAAGGAAGTAACAAAAGATTATGAACCATTTTCTACCGATGTAGCTTATGCATAAACAAAAACCTCCCCGAGATATATACCCGAAATGTGCTAATACCATACCATTTCTCTCTCCTAGTCGACAACTGGTGACCCAGACTGTGTCTCAGTTAACTCGAGGCGTTCACTGGCCTACATCTTCAGATCATGAAACAGATCAAACATCCGACAAGTCTTGTTTTCTGTGTTCGACCATCAAAATAGTTACAACACAATAAAGATGAAAACAATAACCAGGGCTAGTCAGAATAAAAGGCCAGTAAAAGTTATGGACAGCGTGTTTGCTAACAGTTACACAATCACCGCTACAAATTATGAGCTGGGTTGATTGTAGGCTATGGGAGATAAAGTGTCTTCACAGACGTCTTCTGAACGCAGAGGTCATGATTGCGTAGTCAGATACTAATGGCCTCGGTAACGGTCAACTTTTGGAATCTCACCCTTCTTGATTGAGTTCCTGGTACTCGAAAAACAATATGGAAGGTAAAATGATCACTGGCATGATTACGGAATGGTTACTGGTAGAGTGATTAGAGCCGGTCGAAAGAGCAACATTTGCACTTTAAACCGTTTCAGTCGAATCACTGATCTACCATGTTAGATGAGGTTCACGCACTCCATCAGACAATAACCGCCCAGTAGTACGGCCATTGTTTAATGCACGACACGAGCAGCAAAATAGTACACACAGCAACTGGTTGTAGAATCTGGAACCTTGTTCGTGACACGATAATAGGTCTCGAACGGAAACCCACACACAACTGAGTGGCATGGTGAGTTGTTCTGATTGACTTTCTGACTCGTCTCGCGACAACTTCGGCCATGGGGTCACATTTGAGAGGGATGTTAATGAACGCATATTTCTTATTCACAGTAGGTGACTTAATTTTCAATTCTACCGCCTGCATCTTTTGAATGAAACGCATTGGGTGGCCATTCCACATGAACACTTTTGTATGAAGTCTAGCTTAGCTTATAATGTGTTAGGAGT